TAAGTCCCCCATCATAAATTGCAAATTTTATGCATGACTGACCACGCTTTCACGCTCCAGTGAACAAAACGCGTTTTCAGTTTTTTTGCGATTTCTCAAAATTGATACATGCTATTGGGTTGAAATTCATAACAATGATTAATGGACATGTTCCGGATACGATATGTCAAGGATACGCATGAGTGACCTCGGCGATACGCTCCAGTGAGCAATATAGGATTTTACATTTTCATCTTCTCCAGAACGACACTACTTAGAGACTTGAAATTTACATCACATGCAGATAATGAATCCCCCATCATAAACTGCAAATTTTACGCATGACTGACCACGCTTTCACGCTCCAGTGAGCAAAACGCGTCTTCAGCTTTTTTTACGCGGGAAGCCTGTTAAAGCTGCACGCAGCTCTAGTTACGATTGGATTCGTCAATGAAATGTTTAAAATCATTATTTTATAGAAATATTTGTAATAAGGCAAATTGTTTACTAACAGAATCTATATTTCTGACAGCACAAGATTCATTCTATCCCAACAATACTTCAAAATTTGTTTCACTGATCAATCAAGCAAAAACTTTCCCAGGAAGGATTTCAAGAACAGTTTTTGATGACGCAGCCTTGGATACAAAATTTAATAAAGGAAAAAGTTTCACTGAAATATTTGGAAAAAAGGCTAAAGGTGAGATAAACTCTCTTTTAACAAGCATAAGGAGCAAATAGATCTCGTCCCATTAAATTGTCCGTGTCTAATTGGAATAATGGGCTGTGAGACTTGTTATTTCGACACGGTGATCACTTTTTCACAAATAGTTAATGTGGTTTAATGCATTCACTTGCATTTTTCCAATTAATTTTGTTATATCTGATGTAATACTAGTGAATTGCAAATGTTTACAGTGATATATCTGAACTAATGTATTTCTAAAAGCAAACTAAGTAGGACAGTTTTTTTTTGTATGTAACAGCTATTATGTGGGGTAGGGCAATGGTCCGGTTTCACGAATAGATATGCTCGTCTCATTATACAATCGGTTCGATAGTCTGGTGATGCAAGTGAAGAACCTAACGGGGTCACGCGGAATGGGGTGATCGGTGTCAGCCACGAATGGTGCGATGTACTCTGGTGCAAAACTTATCAGTCTAACTTATCAGACGTATCCGTGCACTCGTGTATAAGATAAGTTAAACAAATAATAAAATATAAATCACCAAAACCCAGTCCCGGTTCAGTAGTTCAGAAAAGATAGACTATTGACTATTGACAACAATGTTTCATTTCAGACTACGTTTGCAAACAACATCCACAATATTTATTCGTTAAATGCCAGAATTTGAAAACCAGAACTATAGTTACGCCAAAGCAATGTTTGAATGCAGGATGTTGCGTGACGCAAGTTGGACCCCAAAAAAGAAGAATTTGTCATGAAAATTATCTCGGAAATATTGGTAGGATTTATTATTGTTTCAACAACTGATTGGGCAGTCTTATAACAATTCAATTTAGTGTAAGTCATTGCGTAAATAAAATGATATCTTTCGGGATGATATTCATGTATACCCCCTGTACAGGGATTTAATATTATCGTCAATTAGCATATATATAATAATTAGGTATTGGAGATTATGAACTATTTTTAGTGAAAGCGTCATTTATTATTGAACATGAAATATACGTATGGATCGTTTTGTTAAACTGTGGTTATTCTGGTTGTTGTTATTGTGGAAAATCCTTATCCTTTTTTAACTAATAAACCGATTATTTCACGTTTCAGTACGTAAAATTATCTGGAGACGCTAAATGGATAGTCCTATCATTTTATTTTATTTCAAATTTCCTGTGAGTCCGTCCTCTAGCTATGGGATTCGATATTTCACCCAAAATTTTGCTGTTTTTTTAAATTCATGATACCACTTTTACAGGATGTTTTGAAACACGTTCATTTGACATTTGTTCGTTGTGTCCATATATTTGAGTATTGCTTTCTTGTTTTTTTTTAGGAATGAAGATGGCCTTTTCAAACGAAACTGCTACAGATCTCCAAAACTTCTTCAATTTTGCACAAGCAAATTTTATACCATGTAATGTATAACTTTGTACAGCATACGATATTATAAATGAAAATGGATAGTTGTAAATAATCTGCTTTTTTTTCATTTCAGGGGTGCCTAACAACAAATTACCAAGAGTCTTTCTAAACTTTCGTTCTAGCCCAAACGCGAATTCGTTCATCAACTTTTATCCTACTGTGATGGTACGTACTTACGCTCGAATTATCACTTTTTCAAAACAACCACATCATTTTAGTCAAACTTATAAGATATAGTAAAAGAAAATGTTGAAAATGTGGAATGGTTAAATATTGAAAATCCAGCGAACTGGGCAGGATGATGAAGAAAGTGCAAGTTTTACTATACTTAACCTTGTCATAAGTCATAATTCGTTTAGGAATAATTTGATTTTTAACACTCTTAATATACTGAATATAAACAAAATCTCTAAAATACCCAGTTTCATAATAAACCGATTTTTGTTTTCTCAAATTTGTTTTATGCAAACATTGATGAATGAATGAGAATTTACGTGAGTATGCGTCCCGAAACTTGTGGTTGGTTGTTATTATTCTGGAACGTCATCATGTGCATTTTGTTTTCAAGAACCTTCATTCGTTGTGATAATATTACACCAAACATTATATTTTTAGCCAATTGATTCCCATCCAATATTTCGCCCTAATTACACTTGGAAACCACACGGACCTACAGTATTCCCGTTTCCCGCGAGACCACCAAAGAGTAAGTGTGTTACTGTTAATAGGTAGTCCCTTCAACTTTTCCTTGTATGGGTATTTTTATGTTTAATCTAAGCCCAAACAGACCCATCGTAATCAGAGTTTAACTTTTATCCAGCCAAAACCTAGTCTGGTTAATTATGTCACGAAAATGTCATGTCCCACTTCACTTTCGTTCCTGGAAGAATGGATAGTTTGTAACGTCTCCCTGATCGTGATATTGCATGCGTAACTGAATGCGTGATTGTGAAGGACTGGTGCGGCTCACACTGTGTTCACTGGTGCGGAGAGCTAACACCAAATTTTATTTTTAACTCAACTTTCATACTATTTTCATGGCGTGGTGTTATTTGAATGCTTAATTCGCGAAATCATCAATTTCTTTGTACTCTAAACTAAATAAGTGATTTTCAAAGTGGGCTTTATCGCTACCCAATGGGCGAATAAGGTAAAACTGAAACGAAAAGTCTGAATTATCGCCGAAATTGATTTGTTTATTTGCCTGCAACATTGAGTCCAGTGTTTAAAATTGTTATTATGCGATTATCTATGACAAGACGCTGAATATAACCAAAAGATTAAATTCAAAACTCAAGTTTTGGGCTAAAATGAGGAAATGAATATTAAGATTGAAAAGCAGTGTCAGGTCTAAAATGTAACGAAAAACACCATAAATTTTGTTTTAAAAGCGCCGCAACAGACTAAAAATGCTATGACGTTGCAAATCGCCAAAATTTCGTGTGCCGACGGCAAACATTATTATGCTCATTAAGATTTTATTGCCGACCTTGGAATTTTTTTAGCAGCAACATCTGAAAAATAATCTCAAGTGGCAGTCAGTATTACAGGAACATCTCAAATTTGACAAATTCACAAGATCGCAAAAATTCGAATTAAATTTAATTGTAATCGGGTTTACCACATATTTTGTGTACACAGATTGCCGTGGTATTTCAGAGTACTGTATACTATAGTAATGCTCATATTGTCGTAAGCCGAAGCATTCCGTTGAACATAATTAAATTAATATGACAAGACATTTTAATGCACTTATATCGGCCATGGATTGAATATTTTGCGCAACCGAAAAATCATTATCCGCTGGAAAAGTCTGTTACTTTAACAAGTGGCGTATAATCGCGGAGAGTGGTTCAAAAACCGCTGCACGGGAGTTTTTTAATCATATTTACTTATAATATAATTTGGTGCAAGTCATCTGGCGTTTTTAACGAAATCGAACTGTTTATTCTTTCATTTCCAGCTTTTTTTTTGTTAAAAAGCGGGTCATCAAATCAAAGCAATCTCCTTTATCCTAGCAAACGGAATGATTTAAGATTGTACCTGATCAAAATGGCTTCAAAGCTTCAAAAATTTGTTGAAACTCTCTCTACTTGTTAAAAACATCCTAAATCATGATTAGTGTACTTGTTTAATTGATTTGCAATAAATTTGTTTGTAGCTTTATTTTTTATTGTATTGTCGGGGTGCTTAGTCGGTGACAATGTCAAAAGTACTGTAAAACTGTTGACCGGGAATTTAATAAAATAGCATAATGAAAAATATGACTTTAATATGATGGCCTGCCAATTTTTTCCGAAATCCTTCAAGGCCACTGCACCAATCACGTCATACCATGGTAAAATTATTTTATTAACAATAACTTACCGTGGCAATAACCATGACACTGATTTATTTTACAGAACTGCTGGCTCCCACTGATATGTCTCTGATTCAGCACGAACCTGATGGAAGTGGACCTCCTGGATTAACTGGTAATACAACATAAACTGTATTATGCTCGCTCGGTGATTTTGATAGTGCCTATATTTTAATACCATTCAAACATAGCCTCAAGTGGTGCACCCCCATTGGGGAATCAAAACCAACGTTTTTGAGAGATCGTTGTTCACTTGCCTTTTGACCAAATTGCTATTCACATTTTTTTAATAATATTAAAATAACGTCAGAAATACGTTCACTGATTTTTCCCTCAAACACATATATATACTGTTCTTATAAAAACATACAAGATTCAACATCGCAATTTCTTTCAACCAAAATATTTCATCAACTTTGACAAATGACATATGGCCACCAATGAAAATGAATTGAAATAATAATAAGTCATCTTTACAACACAGCTGGGATTTTCAAACCTTCCTGCAGTGTGTCACCGGTTGATAGATATCAGTGTATCGACAACTCCGTTGCATTAGCCCGAGGAGGTCGAGAAGATTGTTTGGCTAAGGGATGTTGTTATGTTCCTGATTGGAGGAATCTTACTATTCCCGCTTGCTTTCGACGACTGGAATATGGTCAGTGAAATATACAAAGCAAAGTTACATGTGCCTAATCAAACTACATTCTTGTAAAATTACTGGCACAGAGGTGGTACATTCATAATCTGCCGGGCGATTTGACTCACGTACTGGTATAATACACTACGCCGACCGATGCAAGTTATGAGCAAAAGGCTTGGCTTCAGGATAATGTGGTTTTAACCACATAAATGTGGTTTTAACCACATATATGAAATCGAAGAACGCAACTTTTCCATTAGTGGCTAAATACTGTATCTCGAGGTCATGTAGTGTATATATTGTAAGTAACAGAAATCAGCAGCACTGTACAATATATAAAGTATAGGCGATTCGTGAAACGGCCAAATGTCTTTGAATGTTCTCAGTTTTATTGTTTAGGGCAATGCTACAACGTAACTGAAAATGAAAGAGAAGAATGTGGTTATCCAGGTATATTTATAAATTCTTCACATCATTACTCAAAGAGCATATAGGGAAATTGTGTTTTGGCGGTATTGTAGCTATATCTAACTAGATATATTTACAGCGTTTCCATTTCTTTGTATTAACTTTTATATCCGCAGAACAAAATGAGTACTTCAAATTTGTTCAATAAAATTTATGTCTTCTTCGACGTAGTGTCGCAGACAATGATACTCTGTACTCGAGCATAATACCAAAATTTTATACTGATGATACCTTAATTGTTATTTACATGTAATATATGATTTGAGGATACTAAACATGACATTGCCTCGTTAGATTACAAACAATGTTACGTAAAACGTTCATCCATAGATAATGTAATTTCTGAAAGAGAGAAAGGGAAAATATAAATGAGAGAATGCCTGCTACACATCGTCTTATAGCAATCTGCTTGATGGCAAACATGTCCAATAGGAGTCTGGGTCGTGACATAGACCACTCATTTTCCCACAATCCGATGATGCCAAACATATATATCTTACGTGAAAGCGATTTTATAAAAAAATATTAAAAAAAAAATGCAGGCCCAGAACGTATAATGTATTGTTTATCGATATTGTTTAAGGTATCAATAAAACGGAATGCTTGAAAAACAGACAATGTTGTTACGACAGCACGATCTCCGTGCAAGGAACTTATGACAGAATTCCATGGTGTTACTATAAAAAGAGTAAGTAGAATAGCATTGGAAAAAGTAATCTTAAACCAGAATTTATTGCAGACTGCATAGATTTTTTCCCCATGTTTCTGAGTTCAAACTAAATACTGTATATCGCTTCTACCACGCCTGTTTGGTTGAAAAAAGTCTAAATCGCTTGTGATTTTAAACCTGGAAATCTAACTTAAGCTCATGTTCTTCACAACAACAGTTGTGTATATCTACTGTTAAATAATCTTCGTAAATTCTGGGAGTTAAAATCACAAGAAGATCTTTACCCAACTTTAATGCTGGCAAGAAGACGTTGGAATTCCGTATCTATAAAATGTAATATATTTCATTCCATATTACACAGGATCACCAGTCGTTGAAAAAGAAAGATGTTCTCGTTCTCTTCCATATGTACAGAGACAAGGATGCTTTCGGAATCGTAAGTTATAAGATGATGTTTGGTCGTGATAAATTTTACAAGAGAGCAAGGCTCAAATATTCAAAAATTACGCCAAAACGTTCAAAAACAGCCTAAAGTACACATAGGTCCAATCCTTACCGCAGTACCGGTAGCCTACGCGACTCACGCGGAAATGTAGCAAAGCACTGAGTTCGCAAAATCAAAACCAAGACCAGTTGTGGCGTAGCCGGTCACGCTTGACGGCATAAAAACAGTGTTCACATAATTAAAATAAACCAGCAAAAATATGGGTAAAATATTGGAGCTCATAGGACTCCATACATACATTTAGCCACTTTGAGTTGTTAAAGAGGGATAAGTGTTGTTTAAATTTACATGAGATTGATTATATGTTACAGACAACTTAAATTTTGTGATATCGAGGGAATCATGTGAGGCCGTCGAAGGATGTTGTTACCAAGATGTTAAACTCAGATGGTTTGATCGAGTTATCGGCAGACAAGTAAAACCCCCACCGTGTTACATAGGACGCCGTGAGTATTATATTACTGTTGCAATTAACTACTTTGGCGTTACTTATTGAAGATCTCAAATCATTCACAACACTAAATGACTGTGTAGGCATTTCACAAAGTTGTGCAGTTGTACAGTATGTATTAAGATTCGTTCGAAGCGAAGTTGTCTATCATCTGGTAAAAATTTCAATTCTACAAATATTCTTGTAAAATGAGGTTTGCTAGGCGCCGTATAAACCAGAATTTCTTAGCATGCTATGATGGTAATCCAAATTTTTTTTAACACCCCATAATGTAATATGACATTGCTTATTGGCTTTGGTCACTTTTTCATCTAGTGTTTCACTTTTACTTGATTCATATCCACTCGGAAACTGTTTACAATGAATATCATTAACCAGTTGTAATTGTTTCTTATCTTCTTTGTCAGAAACCGACTTTACTCCCAGAGATATTCTATCACGTAAGTCAAGTATATTATATTTCAACCATTGAAAAAGTTTGATTTGAAAATAAAAGTTTTATGAAATAAGTTACAATCATTTTTGTTTTTATGAAAATTAGAGTTAGTTTTGTCCAATTTAATTTGTTCAAAAACATCATTATATAAGTTCCAGATTGTATTATATAACAATACAATATAATTTTGGACACAAAAGAAGCATATTCATCGTTTTGCTAAATTCTCAATGTTTTCTCATTGTTGTTGTTGTCTTTGTTACAAAAATCACTTTTGATTTCAAATTTTCAGTACATATAGATGATTGAAGTCACTAGAATACCAATATTTTAATTAATATTTTTTTCTTTTTTCTGATTATTGTGGGATTCGATATAACCCCAAATTTTGCAGTTTCTACATCATCCGCCACCAGGTGGCATCACGCACCTCGGAGCACTCACACACATCTTTTCTATGAATCCGGTGCTTACTACTCAACTGCCATCTTACCAGTACCGATGCTGCGGTAGTGGGACTTGATTTATCGCTTAGTGTCTATCAATTGGAGCATTACTTTCTTGTTTCTCATAATATCGTAGAACATGCGTTAATCATAAATCTTCTTTAGGGCCACCACGACCGAGGCGACAATGTCAGTACAAAAATGTTCTTCAGCCCCATCAGAGAGTTGATTGCAACCCAAAGCTGAAATTGAACTGGTTTGCTTGCTTAAGGCAAGGATGCTGTTTTGAAGCGCTTCCTTCATTTCCTCGATTCCCATGGTGCTTTAAGAAATGTAAGCAGTTTGTTGTCATCTTTATAATATATTGTAATTACTCGTAACTGCATATTGCTTTGCAATTGTTCCAATGATTGTATTAGTCTTACTCTTTTTTTAGTAGGTGTTTTAGAGATTTTACTCATTTGTGTTTCGAAACTTACTACATATTTTTTACTTTTAGCACTTTTGTGAAAATCGATTGGAAGTTGAAAAGAAAATGACGGAATAGATATCTAAAGTCAGACAGATTGACTCTCCTGCTAAAAAAATATATTTATTGTTATTAGGAAATATTTACTATATTTTTATGTAATACAAAAAATATATGTGTCCTCTTGTGATTTACAGGGAATTATTTACATTTATGCATTTGCAGAAAACTAAGAAACTTCGGTTGCAACTATAGCGTTAGGCCTATCACGCTATTGCGTGAGGTCTAACGTTTTATTTTATCTTTTTTATTATTTCTATACATTTGATTTAGAGACGAACACCTAATTTGTACTTATCCTGGGAATGGCTAAAATCAGTGTTCAGCAAACTGCGGCCCGCGGGCCAATTGCAGCCTAGTCAACTAATTTTTTGCGGCCCCCCAAACGACCCGAATTTCATTGCATAAAAAATGAACCTGAATTTATTATTGTCTCTGCACAAATTTATGTGGTAACAAGTGCTGCTGTATGGCGTTTGTTTCGTAGTAAATAGCGTCAATTCTATGACTTGAGTAGAACATTCTGAAGCGCTTGGACGGAAAATAGTTTTTATTTTTAAGCATTTCAAAACCAGTTTGCCGGATATGCCAAATCAGCATCGCAGTAAGGGATATAATGTTAAACGTCATTACTAAACGTGTCATCTCAAATTCGATCCGAGCCTGCGACACTGCTTATCTGTGAGACAGTGCAAAACGTGTAATAAGCATATTCGAAGGCACATATTGCACATATAAGCTTTATATAAAATGCATTGGGCTAAGAATAAATTTCGTACTCGTTTGTCAGATCATCATTTGGACGACGCTTGTGCTTGTCAACGAAGTTGGCATTTGATTTCAACGCTTTGGCCCTGACACAAAAACAACATCATCCTTCACAAGTTCACATTGATAATGAGTAAATAAAACCAATGTATAGTTAAAAAATATATTAAGACCAGATACACCTCTCATTGTGGAAGGTTTTTAACACAGCAATAGAAGGTCCATGTGCGCTGTAATTTAAGATAATGTGACGATTGTTCGCATGCGGAAGTTAATGCGGCCCGCAAGTTACCGCGAATGTGTTTATTTGGCCCGCAAGTACATAAAGTTTGCAGACCACTGGTTTGAATGAATAATTGAGGTAATTAAATAAAACATAATGACGATAAACCGCCGGCTACCCTAGCACCGAAACAGAGTCAATTCGACAAGTTTCGAAACAATTAAAATTCTTCAATTGCATCGAGTCAGTTTAGTTGATTGACTCGACTTGATTTTAGTTATGAAATGTGCATTGATCAAAATCATGGATCGTAGAATGGCTTTGCTTGGTTACTAATCCGTTGATAAAAAAAAGTATTTTCGTATAACAGCTGACATGAGGACCAGAAAAAAATGAGGACACAATTTAGGTCACAAATACCCGATTACTCGACTCTGCTCGATTATTATAATTCAGGCCGATAAACTTTACTCGGAGTAGGCTTAAACGAGATTGACTTTGCCTGGTGTAAGTACATTTTTAAGATCCGGTAGTCGTAAAGAGCCGGGTCAGTAGTGACAGTACTCCAAACGTACTATTTCTATTTAAAAGTTGAGTTTTACAAAAATGCCTGCCTGTCATTCAAGCGGTACCAGAAATAAGAAGAAAAAAACAACAACTAATATTTGACATATCAGTTTTGACGTTTCTTTAATCCTTGTATTGTATTTGAACCGAGCAAGCAGAACTAGATATACAAGAACTACCTCTTTACACACAATTTTACATAATTTGAATAAATAAACTCGTTACAATGAAAGAATTCCCAGTAAAATTAATATTATTCCAAGCTGGAGTATAATTCAAAAATCACTTTGATTCCATCTGTTTGAGACCCATATCAGAATTTTTAGAAAAAATCTTGGTCAAAACTAACGCATATTCTAAATTACAGAAATCGATAAAAATTCTGTTAAACTCGGTTATGACTTCTATATCTGCGTTTATTTTGTGTAAATATTAAGACATTGCATATTTTAAAACACAACTAAACCCTACGGCAAATATTTGTCAGTGATTTGAACTGTAATAACCCCTAAATCAAACGTTTTTTTTTATTTAAATTACAAATATTATTTCAGTGACAACAAATTTTTCATTATTTTTTCTTTCTTCTCTTCAGTCACACAGCATGGGCATTTATCTATATAACTTTATATAATCTGAATATTCAATTTACTATTTCTCAATACCTTTAAATAAGGCTTTGACTATATTTCAATTACATTAGGATTGTTAATATGATAAATCTTTCCAACTTTTAAAGTTTTGGGTCCTGGTTTCGACCTCAATCTACCACGAAAATAAACACGTGTCAAAAATGCAAATCAAATAGATCATTTACGCCTCTGGCGCACTATATAGTCTTTAAAATTTTGGATATTGCTCAAGAGAATAAGTATTGATACAGATGTACTCTTGCGCATTTGCGTGACTTGCATTGTTCTGACCAGAACAAGCCCGATGTATTCAGAAATAGGATTGATGCTTTGTAAATTAGTTCAATATAAGAATCCGAGATAATAATATATGAGAGAGGATTCGCATGATTTTTGTAGCGTATAGGTAAGTAGGTATGAATCAGGGCAATAGGTGGAATCATGTTTTTGATATCGATCTGGTTTCGAGATCGTGATAAAATCACGAACCAAGAGAATTATTGGTCTGAAGTCTTGAAATGGACGCAAACATGAATCTGTCGAATTTTCCTCTTTTTTGAAAATAGGTGTGATCTGTTTTATACGGATACCGAGAACTGCTGTTTCAAGTTGCATTCTTTTCGATACTCCCGTAGTGTGTGTACCAGGTTATAGGGTTAGACCATAACTTTATTCCGATTTTCCTCATTTCAGTTCTATTACGAATTCGGGGACTATTTGTGTTAGCCAAGTGAATACACCCTACCCATAGGCTTCCGTCCCTTTACACAACTTGATGTATTAAGTAGACGAACAAAATTAGTTACCTCCACATTGGTACACACTTCTGGAGTTTTATTATTTATCGATCTTGATCGGTATGTATGTTGATAGATATTTGTCTGTTTGTTTGTCTGTTAAGACACTTTCGTATGTCACGCGATATCTCACGAAAGCGAAGTTGCATCTCCAAATTTTGCATGTGCATGATTTTGGATGAATTATGTCGTATTATTAGCGCGTTATTAATTAATTAGTGATGGGACACGCGGTGTGGCTATTGAGTCAGAGCGTTATATTCGAAATTCAAAGCCTATAATATTCAATTCGTTCATGATCTCAAAACGCTTGTCAATATATTATTAGGTATACACATATCACGAAAATCTGTAAATTCTGTTTCGTTGTGGTAATTTGAATAAATAAACTTGTTACGATGAGCGATAGACGCTACTAAAAATTTCCAGAAAAATTAATATGATTCCAATTTGAAGTATAATTCAAAAATAACTTTGATTTCATCTGTTTGGGACTCATATCAAAAGTTATAGAAATATATCTTGTGGCCGAAACCAATAAATATTCTAAATAACAGAAATCGAAAAAAATTCGGTAAACTCGGTTATGAT